GTGTTTTCACTCAAATGTTATTTATATTCTAAGCTTTAAATTAATATATTTTAAGACTGTTTCCGATTAAGAATAAAGAAATTATAGATCATTCATTTCGTTACCATCACATTTTTGCCAACCTGTACATTTAAGCATAAAAATATTTTTATTACGAAACTTGTTATATAAGGTTTATTTGAATATATATAAATACAGTCTATGTACTGTTATATTTGTAATTATAAAATAATATACAATGTATACAGTATAATCTAATAAATAACTTAAGTCACTAATAAACAATACAATGTTTGACTGTAAATAGTATTTATTTGAATGGCAGCTGTGTCTACAATAACTTTTGTATTTTTATACGGAAAAAGCAAAAAATAATTCATTTAAAGTTTATTTAACTTATAATAACTAAATTACACGTTTCATATTAATAGGGTATTTACAGTTTATTAGTAATAAAATTTTAATAAAGAATTTAAAAATTGTAAGTATCTTATTGTAATCTCAATCTAATATTAACTCTTTAATAATTAAAATAAAAAACTATTTTAAATAACTAGTATCTATAACACAATTATCTAATCAGTGTGTTTATTACTCGACATCTAGGAAATACACTTTTCATTACATATAAAATACACTAAAAATATATTAAAATTGTGTATGTTTTATTAAATGTAGTGTTTTATACGAAACACATTAATGAAAGTCACTATAAAATAGTGGAAACACATAAAGCCTTGAAAACTAGTGTTTTTTATATTACTAGTAACGTTGCAAATGTAATTTTTAGTGGAAAACATTTTCTATTCAGTGATAATTACGGTGAAACGTATTGTAAATGCATTATACATAATGTAATATTATTGTCCAACGTGTTTTCGTGCATATTATAGTTTTTTCATATATTTATTATGCAATGAATTTTGTGTCAAGTATTTTATAAGTTAAAGTTTTTAGTTTTATTTATTTATTTATTTATAATTGTTAACAAAATGTTTATTAAAAAATTTAAACGATGCCTTGCTGCAATTACTGGTGCTACCAGCCTAATATGTAATATAAATTTTAAATGCTTAAGTGACAAATATGTTTATACCGGGATTATATGCTTTATACAATTGTCATATGTAAGTATTGATTTTCATTTTATTTATATGCAGTATTTAGTTATATTTATTTTAATTATGTTAGACACATAATTATTTTTGAAAAAAATATATTTCATAATATAATACACTATTAAATACTTTATTTACACAGTATATATAATGAACTTTATAGTGTACATCCTGGTAATTTTAATGATAATTTTAAATGCTATGTATGAAATAGCGTGTGTTACTTTTATTAGATTTATATAAGATATAAAACATTATGAGTACACATCACAATATTGTATGCAACGTCATAATAAAAAATATATTTTCATATAAATGCGCAAGGTCGCATTGCATTTTACATTATGCTTTGCCATAACAGTTTAGTTATTGCCAAATGCAAACACGTTTATAATATATACACTCATGACTCATTACTTATATTTATTTTACTATTTAACTAGAATTGTTAAATTCTAAAATGCACAAGGAGCTATTTTATAAGTAGTCATTAATAAGTCAGTAATTTTCAAAACTATATTTAATTTTGAATTATTAAATTTTAAGTTTAAATTTTTACTTTTATTATGATTCATATAATTTATTTTTTTAATTTAATCCAAATTACTTTATTAAACTTTTTATTAAAATAGAAATCATTGTTAAAATAAAAATCATTTTTAAAATATATAATTTATGTAAAATTTTCCAGCACTTTTTTTAAAATAAATAAACTTTTTAGAATTTTAAAATTGTCATTGACATAATATTTTTTATTACAAAATAGTGACTATTTATGTTTCATTTATGTCTAATCAGGGTTACAGCTGTTCATCATTTGGGCCCTCATTTGTAGACCTGAAACACATATTCAAGACATCGATGAACGAGATATCTCTGGTCACGACATTCATGAGCTTTGGATATATGGTTGGCTCGCTTTGTAAGCTTATTATTAGACCAAAAATAACAACAAAATTCAGACAGTCATATACATTGACAACAACATAAAACAAACAATAATTAAGATATCATCATGAATATCATGTTTAAAAATATGCACACTTAATAAACAACAAAATAACAAGCATTTTATTAAAAATACTTAATAGAGTGTTTATTTAAAAATATTATTATACCACAAAATATAAACAATAAAATGCGGCAATGCATATAAACATAATACATAAAATAAATTAAACAAAAATAAAATAATAATCAAAAATATTTTATTTGTATTATACATACTTTGAAAAAATATTTTAAAAATTAAATTTTATAATTACACAATATGAATTTTTAACAAAACAAATCTAGACACTTAAAAAATATATTGATAATCATGGGATCATATTAATCTAAGATTTAAATCACCCAACTTAAGGTGGCCTATTCATCAAGCACCTAAATAAACGGATTACCATGATCTCATCGCTGGTCCTAATGTCCATATCCATCATAACGATCCCGTACTCCCAATACATACCCCAACTATACACGTGTTTCTGGTTATTTGGTTTCGGCTCCGGGGTCTACGTGAACGTCAAGTACGTCTGGCTCATAGACATGTGGCAGGAGTCCAGTGCACCTATACTTCATTTGGCGGGCTTTATGTTCGGCATCGGACACACGTTGGGACCCCTTATCGAGAAGCCCTACCTAACGGGCGAACAGTTTGCGGCACTGGATGCCGATAATAGGGTGGCACTGGTAGCTAAAAACATATCCGTCCACAAGTCAGATATCTTAAGCGATGACTCCTATGTTAGGAGACATAAGCTTATGATACCGTACCTTATATGCGGGTCCATACATATTTTAGGTATTTTCATAAAATAAACATTATTTATTATAATAATAATTCTTGATGATCCTGTTCAAAAATATTATTTATAATAAAAATAAGATATACAGAATATAATATTTGTAGTACTTCGGAACCAAATAGTAATAGTAGAAAGTTTTGTAAATTATTCAATTTTATTTTATTTTAATCTACAGTTTAATAATTTTTAATACAAAATAATTTTTAATCAGATACGAAAAATATATCAATTTCTCCATAATAATCAAAATCTTTTATATCCTAATCTGGGTTTAATTTTAAACATTGTAGATTTAATATTATCTATTATGAATAATCTTTTACTTTTAAACTAAAATAATAATACCGGTAAGGGATTGCAAAAACCAAATAGCACTTTGAGACAAAGTTTTATAAATTATTAAATTATAATCTATAAGTTTACAGTTTAGATATTTTTATAATTAACTAAGTTTGTTACTTCTCACTGTATATCATAAATATCACAAATTTAATCATTATAATTCATAAGCATAATTATTTATTAATCCAGGTATAATTTTTACAATTAATAGGTCCAATACTACTAGCAATAATTTTCAATAGCCGGCGCACTTCAACACTGGACAGCACCAAGCTCAAAATTGTACAAAATAACGATAATACCACCAATATACATAATAACAACAACAACACCAAAAACAACAATACTACCACCACCAATGGCAGCAAAAAGTTACTAGAACAAATGCCGCAACAAAAACTCACCATGATCATACTAGTGTGCTTGCTACTGGCCTTTTTCAGCGCCAGTGAGAGTATATTCTTCGCGTTCAGCGCCACCTATTTCCAGTACATACCCCTCAAACTGAGCGCCAGTAGCGCCGCCCAATTGGTATCATCCATGGCCCTCACGTTCACCATAAGCCGAGGTGTGGCCATCATATTAGCCATGCGGACGACCCCACAGAAAATCATAGCCGTCTTCCTGGCCATCCTATTGGTGTCAATGGTTTTGCTGTTTTTCGCGACCAATTCGTTGACACTCTTATGGTTGGCCATCCTATTGATGAGCTTCGGGTTCAGCCCTATCTATGCGTCGATCTTCTCGTTTATGGGCCGTTACCTCGAGTTCACCAATCAGTTGGGAACCGTACTCCTACTGAGCGCTAATAGTCTTAATCTGGTGCTGCCCGGCCTACTCGGCGCCTACATCGAAGTGATGCCAAATATATTTTTGGTCACCCTGATCAGTTGTGCCACTTTTAGTATGATTTTGTATTTATTTATTTTGTATTTTATACTTAAATTTCGTAATCAATTGTCTGATGAAAGGCATAAAGATTATGATAATTTTGATACTATTTAAATAAAGTTTTTATATAAGTTTTTAATTATTTTTATTTAATAACTCTCTCTCTCTCTCTCTCTCTCTCTCTCTCTCACTCACTCATTCATTCACTCACCCACTAAAACAAACACATATTTAAACAATATGTGCAAGCATAATTAAATCTAAACAGTAATATAAAAATATATTTATAGAATTGTGTAATTAGCATACTAAATAATAGTTTAAAGTTTATATAATATATAAAGTTTATATTTCGAGTAATTCATTAGACTATAATAGACAAATTCAATATAAAACTAATTATACTAAAGTCTAAAGATGTAAAAACAACATTATATTGTATTAATATTTATATTCTAATATAATATCAATATTATGCATATGAATGAAATAAACATTTTAATTGTGCAAATAAATAAATAAAAATATTAATAGAATTAATTATGAATAAGAGCAAAATATTTTTAACTACTGTATCAAGGCTCTTATTTTAATGTTATATTAGTACATTATACTATTACTTTGAGACAATGATATTACAATGTAGACTAATATAATATAACTTATGATAGAATTCCATGTTTCACATTATTATTTTAATCTCGTTTTTTAATAAATATAAAAATATAAATTTAAAAATTAATCAAATCTCAACAACAATAGCTATTTAATATATATTTCGATATATTGTATATTATAAACATTTTATCAACGATTATATAATGATTGACGAAATTTATATTCTTGATGATTTTGAAAACTTTATGACCAGCACATATTTTCTAATATCACCCACATTTCACCACTACATCACCGGTCAGTTACCACCTCTCAAACGCATCGTAAAGTCCCAGATCATCAAAATTATGTCTATTATGACATTCATTCGCTACGGTATATCAGCTATATATAATACACCGTACATATTATACCTAACATCCAATGCCAACTACCTATTAGGTCATCACCTTATTATATCGCTTATATTAACTGCCGGTGCTCTCATCAGTAATCTCATGGTTGGCTATACTTTCTACTACTTTGAGATTAAGCGCAAGTTTTATGTAATCCAATACTTCTACGATATTAAACACCAAATGACTGGCAATAAACTTAATGGCGAATTACGGGATAAGTTTTTTAGCAGACTACATTTTATCATGACATACCTGTGCCGTCCACTGATGGCTATATTTGCCTTAAATGCCATCATTATATTCATGTCACCGCCATTTATAGCCTACTTCTGGGAGGCAAACCCTCCCACAGAATATTCGCTAATATTGTCCACCATTTGGCTATTCATAGGAAGCGTATGGATAATAGACTTTTATGCGGTATGTGTTACGGGAGGGGTATGCTGTTGGTACCTGTCCCTCACATACTTGAGATATCAATTTATTAAAATACAATTAATGCTCAGGGACGCTATCAAGCACGGGCGTTCTCGATTATTTAGGCGTACCCTTAAGGCCCATAATAATTGTTGCATAACTGTGCGTAAAATTAATGACTTATTTAAATATATATTATTGATTACCTATACGTTTGCCAAACCGGCTATCAATCTATTAATATACGTATCGCTGGCACCGGACTCCCTATTATACACCCGAATTTGCGCCGGTATTGTATTTGTATCAGTATTTTGTGTTATAATTATGTTGAACATAATGTGTGCGTCGGTATCAACGGCTGCCCATAGCGTGCGGACAGACATGTATAAAGTCATTGACAGCGACAATACATTTAGACTGACAATAGGGTTAAGGCTTAAGATTATGTTGTTTATCGAGAAGTTGTCGGAAAGTCATATCGGCTTCACGTGCGGGAACTCCTTCCCAATGAATAACTACGAGTTTTATGTGTTAGTGTGCGGGTGGGCCTCCCAGTACTTTCTCATCATTGATATTATGCGAAATAACCATGTTATAAACTATTGAAATGTAATATTTTAAAATGCTAATATACTGCTAACACACACACACACTAACACATAAAACTCGTAGTTATTCATTGGGAAGGAGTTCCCGCACGTGAAGCCGATATGACTTTCCGACAACTTCTCGATAAACAACATA